ACATAAGACATGTTAGTGGACAATCATCCAATTCAACCACAATAAATGGTGCTTTATTCAAAGCCATTTCTAAATCATTTAGAAAAAATGCAAATAAAATTGGGCTTAATATGCCCCCTTGTTGTATCCCAATCTCAGATGTAAATGTTTTTGTGTAACCATGCGGTAATTTTACACAATATTTAACCACACTGTACATACTCTGCATAAGATTGACTATTTTACATCTAAAGCCTACTCTAACAAGCTTTAAAAATAAACTAGCTCGGTCAACATAGTCAAATGCTTTATTTGAATGTGCTCATGCTGGCAATATTGGAACTTTGTCATGGTGAGTGTCGTCCAATAGTTTACACTTGGGTTATCTTATTTCAGATGTGGTGATCTCTCCTTGATTGGCAACAAACAGCAAAGCAGTTCATCGTCACCAAATCCATCTGGCATTGACATTATCCAGGCCATGAGATTAGCCTGTCGCAGTCACATGTCCAAGTCACCAACTGGCTCTTTCCATTCTCACAGCTTTAGATCCATCATGGGGTTTGTGTTGAAAGGTGTGGCACCTGGGTAAGTATTATCCACCACCTGCCTTGTTCCTGTTCGTTGTAATTCACACCAATATGATTCTGTGAAGTACAGACATGCTGCATATGATATTAAAGCTACTTACTTGGTTAACAACTAAACACAAGAATTCATCTTTACTGAACACTGACTTACTTTTTCAGACAACTTGAGGGTAATCCTTGGCTGGAAAGGTTATACTACAGTTGCCAGAGACATGATAAACAAAATGGTGATGGAAGAAAGAAAGATGATAGTATGTTCACTGAGATGGTAAGATAAATAAATATGTTTGTTTTGCCCTGTTACAATCTCTGCCTCACCCACAACCAAGCTATGGTGCCATCTTGACAGTAACTTTGAATTGCGTCATAAGAATCATGGTGATAAGGAACTACTTTACTGTTATTTGATTAGTACGTTATTGCACCCAAGTATATCTTATTTGTTGACAATCTAAAATATTTTGATGTCTCATGATGATGGACTTTGAAATGCCTATCAGCCAGTTTTTGAAAAAAAAATATACTGTGATCAGAAACTGAATTTGTTAAAAATTACACAAAATTTGATTCAAAGAGTCGATTTAAAAAACACTGAAATCTCTGTAAACTGAACATTACTGTAACTGTAAATTTGTTTTGTACATCTAAGTAGCAATATTGTCAGCTAATTGGCAGTTGTGTTGCAATCTGCATTAGCTCTAAATCTGATAACGATATACTGACTTCCTGAAAGAAAACATTGTTAGAAACACAGATGTATTGTCAGCCAATGAGCTGATATTACTGGCTATGTGTATGTAGGTGAACAAATTCAATGCCACAGTATGTAAGTTTTGAGATGGGTTTTAAACAGTTTACCAAATATGACACCATCACTGATTACTTCAATATGTGTCATAATTTCATATATTGTGTCCTATGAAATATGTAGCATAACGGAAATATTTCAAGTTTTTATTCCATTCTGTGAAAATGACCTGATTTTATCTCCCTCCCTGTGACAGGTGGTTGGTAATGATCCTCTATCATGGTTTTGGGCTACGTGTGAATCAGCTTTGTTCTGTGTCTTGTCTAAACTTAGAACACCACTGGGAAAACCACAGGAAACGTTCCAGAATATAGAAAGTAAGATTAACTCGCTCTATCTCCACACAAAAATGAAATTTTAATATTATGAGGTATGTATGAAGACATACAAAGAAGACATCGAGCGTCGATGTGACGGCGTACTGTCTGAGTGCATACTTTTCATTTCCTCATAATAACCTTATTATTATACATCTTTTCCTCCTAAGGATACATCATGGGAATGCCGAAATCCAAAAAGTTTAAAACAGATTCATTTTTTTTAACTTCTTTATGTTGAGTCCGGTCAAACCCTGGGGGCTGCCATGTTTTTATTATTAGAGGACATTCACGCTCATAATCGCTCCATATTTGGAATTCGCATTTCCTAATATGGTAGGATGAAATTACCCAGTGCAATACCACAAAATTATGCACGCTGTATCTTATGGCATTACGGTAACAGATGTATACCGTAAAAACTCAATCAATTCGGCCATGTAAAAATAAATTTTTTGGGGGGTGGGCCAATTGATTGAATAAATATAGAAAATATGTTTCCGAAGTGGTCGATTTGTTTGAATAATTTTTCAACGTTTTAAAACTGAGTTCGAAGTG